TACACGAGGTTAAAATGGTGGAAAGCTTGGCCTTATGTGCTCCTTTGAAGACTTCTGCCGCCCATTGTGACTACCTACATTGTGCTGTTCAGTGTTAGGTGACTCATTCCTTCTCAACAAGTTGAACGAGTCACCAGGTACACTCACTAGATCACTCATAGATCGCAAGAAAAACACTCATCAAATAGTTCAGAGAATAGGAACATGCGGCAGTCGCTTCTTTTCACTTTCTCTAGTAGATATTTATAACAGTTGATCGTACTCTCAGAACAGTTCCGTTACTTTTTTTGCTTGGAAATTAGGAAAAATCTTTCGCATTTTACTGTTTGCCTTTCTTTGATCGTTTACTGACTACCGAAAAGTTCGCAGAGAACGATAATATTCAAAGTTGAAATCGAAAATCATGTGAAACTAAGAGCGGCGTTTTTTTTTCGACTAAAAGGGTCCACTCAACCGAAGTTGTCCCATTATAAAGGGGGACGGGGTTGGGGCTCAACCGAAATGTTGTAGGTTTTGAAAGGAAAGAGCTTTTGATCGGCATGTGGTTCCATACCTGAACAAAACTCAGAAATCGTGAAGGCCAAAGGACCACCACCAATTCCTCTCGCGACTGCCATAACCGAGAGAGCCCTTTCCAAGAAGAAATTTTTCGGAACTGTCAGCTTTTTTGGCGGATGAATGAACGATCCGATAATCTGTAACGTCACTCGGAGAGCTAACATAAGCTCCGATTAATACTTCATTTTTGATATTCTGGTGGTTTGCTCATAAAATGAATGCAAAATATAAATTTTTCGTGTGTACCCCTCTAAACTTTTTTTTGCCAAGAAATCAATCTCATTCAACTTCTGGCTTATTTGGCCTTCTGGCTTTCAAAGATACCGTTAGTTGTTTTTTGAATCAGTCATCATTGCCCGAGAAATCGCAAGGTGATTTCTCTTACACTAACTAACAAGGGAGGTCTTTCAGGACATGGAGCGCTTTTTCGAAATGGTTTCTGCATGTTGTAGGGCTCATGCGAGGAACACAGAACCATGATCCATTTTTCCTGAACGCCTCCAGGAATGTCAAAACAGTGGTGAAGAAATGGTCCAGAGTTCGATCCCCGGTGATGACTAATTTTTGCAATATAGTTTGGCGCCCCAGATTGCCGCCAAATGGCGCCATCGTCGAGAATAGATGTCATTGTCGTGTTTTGCGGCAATTTGGAGGCGCCAACATAAATTGCAAAAATTTGTCATCACGGAGGATCGAACTTTGGACCATTTCTTCCCCGCTGTTTTGACATTCCTGGGGGCGTTCAGGAAAAATGGACCATGGTTCTGTGTTCCTCACATGAGCCTCTACAACATCAGAAAACCATTTTGAAAACGCTCCATGTCCTGAAAGACCCTCCTTGTGAGTGTAATGAAAGATGTTCAAATCTGAAATTTCACAGTTGTGTGAGCTCCACGTGCATATTTGGAAGAGTAGCATGAGCCATGTTTCCATGAAAAAGTCTAATTGGCGTTTTTCTCAAATCCCAAAATCGTGATCTGGATTTGATCCAATCAGAGATATAAGATTTCTTTTGGGCTTGTGTTCTCTTGAACAGGAATTGATTTAGATTCTCCTCAGTTGGTGCTCTCCAAAGAGGTTTTCAGCCCGCCGCGGACCGCGTGCTTCACATGATGCAACACGGAAGAGAACCTTTCACTTGTTTCACAAGAATGCTGGGTTGTGAACAAAACTTTCGCCCCAGGCGGGACTAGAACCCGCACCTCTCGCTTTCCGGGCAAGTGCGCTACCAGTTACGCTACCGGGGCACCATTTCATTCCAACTCAGCTTCATGGTATACGTACCATAGCTTGTCAGCACTCACACGTATAACGTGTTGAGCCGGTTAGCCGATATCGGCAATGACCGCGAGGCTGAAAGCTTTAGCAATGAATTTTTTGTTTGTTAACTGCTGTTTTTGGCCGCAGTTCGCCTTGCGAATGTTTCACAAGAATGCTGGGTTGTGAACAAAACTTTCGCCCCAGGCGGGACTAGAACCCGCACCTCTCGCTTTCCGGGCAAGTGCGCTACCAGTTACGCTACCGGGGCACCATTTCA